ATCTCAGAAACTAATATCTTGTGTTCAAAATTACAAATTACATGAAAAACTAATTTACGGAAACTTACTCAAAATTACGTAAAATTACACAAAATTACAGTAATTTTAAAACATCCCTAGTTATTTCGCGTTTATACAGTAAATCATTAATTAACCATATCGATATCGGTATTTGATTTTATTAGTTGAGGCGCAACCTTAATCATGCACCTTATCGCTGCATGGTGCTTAGTCGTCACATATTACATTCGAAGTTGATACATAATAATATTAATTAATATGTAACAATTGTGATAAGGAGAATAACGACAAATCGTCGTGATTTTTGGGACACGTGATGAACTTTGTGATCAGTTTTTGGTAACAAGAATATACCTAATCTTGTACCGGCCGAAAATTATATAATCAAAAACTACACTTTTATTACCGAAAAATAATTATCGAAATTTGCCGACGCATCTTCAATCAGCTGTAACCAATCACAAAAAACAAATGACTGTATTACTGGTAGTTAGATTACCGGCTAAAATTTTGCTCATGAGCCGGGTAAATAAATAAAATTTAGGAAATTAGATGATCATTCGGAAACCTATGCATATTATTTGACATGAACACCCATTATTGTATATGTAATTACGGAAATTGATTTTTGGGTGCATATGCGATGTCGTACATATGTACACATGTTTGTTATCCTGCAGGTATTACGTACGCACGTATAAATTTATCGATTTGTAGCCTTTAGTTGTATTTTCACAACCATTTTTCTTCCTTTTCTTTCACTTTAATAAAAATTTTATTTATCTTTCCTTTTCTACCAACTAAAAATAAGGAATCATGCCAGAACTTTACGATACTGTTATATCATTTAAACAACTTTCTAGCGATTTTCTTAAAATTTTAGATCAGGAAGAAACTTTCGATGTGATAATTCATGTGGGAGACGAGATCACTAGTGAGTCGTTTAAAGCACACTCAATCATTTTAAGAACTAGATCTGAATACTTTAGAGCTGCGTTATCTGCTGCATGGAAAAAAAAAGAAAATGGATTTTTTGTTATTGATTTACGAGGCATGAGTATACCACATGCTATATTTGGACATGTGCTTTTGTACGTATGAGCAAATAAAATATTTATTTTTAAATCATGATTGTTTTTTTTTTACTGTTTTGAAAATAATTAAAATTAATATAGCTTACTTATTTTCTTAAAGTTATATATATGGTGCATATTTGAAAGTCGAAAAGCTTGGAGTAACGGAAAAGCTACAATTACTAAAGGCAGCAGATATATTAATGATGGATGCTTTTGTAGATTATTTAGAAGCGGATTTAATTAGGACTGAAAAATCTTGGGTAAATGAGAAAAGTAGTGAAGTATTATATGTAGCATTACAAATATCAAGGTGTAAAGAATTAGTGTCATTATGTAATGATGCAATTTTACGTCAACCAAAAACCTTCGTAAGCTCTAAAGAATTCTTATTCATGCCACATGACTACGTGGTTAGTCTGATAGAACGAGACATATTGGGATTGGACGAAATTGACATTTTTGCTGCCGTCATCATGTGGGGTATCAATAACACACCTGGCATTTCACTCACTGACGATTTTTCAACCTGGACAGCCGACAACATAACCACTTTACAATCTAATGTAATACATCTCATTTCACAAATAAGATTTTTCCAAATGCCTCCGGATGACTTTATGAAAAAAGTAGGCCCATTAACTAGAGTATTTGCACCTGAACTTTATGATCAAGTTGTGGAGTATCATGCAAACACCCAATTTCAATTTATTTATGATGTTCAGCCTTTACGCCTTAATTCAACGATAATTAAAGAAAACGAAGAACCAGCTCTAATTTCCTACTGGATAAATCATCCGGAGACTGATTGTGATCTTCCTGAAAATCTGCCATTTGAAACATTTGACAAAATACCGTTTGACTTTCATTTAATTTTCCGATGTCCTGGTAACGAATTAGCTCAAGCTGCATGGAGAGATCTATGTTATAATCAAGGGCCGACTATGACAATAATTAGAACTAAAAATCAAAACGAAGATGAAGCGGTATTTGGAGGATACAAATCGATCAGTTGGTCCACAGAAAATCGGGATACTCATATAGGCGGAAATGGATTTATATTTGGATATTTGTGGCAACAACGGAAATTATTACTTCCATGGATGCTCCGGGTAAACAATCATCTTGATGCTGATATGTTTTTGGGTGATGGTGTGGAAGTGTTTATTGATTTCCGCCATGGGGAAAAGTTATTAGCCCATGCCAACGGTTTCGAAGATTTAGAAGAAACCATAGAAGAACTAGAGGTTTTTCGTGTTGTAAGAAAAACAACGGATGAAGGGTGATTAAAAAACAAAAGAACCATTCGTGGATCTTCTTTTGCTAACCTTTTCAATTGTTACTCTCTTTTCTGCAGTGTTTCCGCAACATTAACGATGCGAATTCTCGACTCTATTGACACATTTAATCTTAGACAAAAAAGTAACACAAAATAAAACAATACAATACAAAAAAAAAAAAAACTTCGCCCATTCATTCTTGTAAAATATTTTCATCGGAAAAATTTTTATTATTCAACTTTTTTTTTTTTTTTGTTATCAATAGAGTTAGATTTAATTTCGAATGAAATTACGGCATAATAATTTTGGGGAAATTTTTAAAAAAGAACATTTATAGCATTCATTAAAATTTCAAGCACAAAACACTAATTTGTATTAATCTCAATAGTAGCATGTTTCTTTCATTACAAGTTACGCATTAATAAGATTAATAAAATAGGGATCGTGTTATTTGATATTGTTTTCATCTTCCCGTAAGATTTTACTTTTACATGAAATTATTCAACATTAGATATGGACCCGTTGGGAAAATCTTCACCGGGTACGTATCGATCTTTAATTAATGTGCTAAGGTAATCCAGTATATGAGTATATGAAAAAATTTTTTTGGGTACATAGCTTATATATTTAGGTAGCTTTATTATAATGTATCTTGTGCGTAGTGGATCTAAAGAGAAGGCTTTTTTAAATTGATTGATCACTTACTTTTTACCCATTAGTTTAGCGCACCTTTAGAAATTATATCATTTTACAGGTAAACTATAAAAATTAAGTACAAAACAAGCAGCCTTTAATATTCAAATATTAGGTACAATTTTGCTGGAATTATCAAATTATAATGTAGCTAAAATTATAGATAATAAATGGGTTTAAAATGGTATTTAAAAAATTTTTATTAGCGAATAGGATTTAGGCTTTTGCACTAAATTTAGTATCGTACATTTTTAAAAACTTAAGTCTAATTTTTTTTATTTGACAAATATTCAAAAATCACTGGTACTGTAGTGCACTGACCAAAAGACCTGGGTCTAATATAAAAAACTTACAAAAATCCGGGTATATTATACAGCAGGTTAGTGTCGCAATAAAAAAAAATTTCAAAATTTGCATTTACAATAAGCAGTCTAAAAATTTAAAAAAACCTATATTTAATTAATAGAGGTCTCGTGTTTTGCACCGGTTACTTTACAAGGGGGATATTGAAAAGGAGGATACTTTGGTTAGTGCACTATGGTATTTTATTAATTATATAAATTATTAAAAAAAAAATTTTTTTTTGGCTTAGTTTTTTTGTAATTTTTTAATATATATTTGCTAGTGATTTAAAATTGTTTATTAATTGCTTATGAATTACTTATTAGTTTTTATGAGTAATGCTTCAAATAGATTAACCAAAATAACCAAAGACAGCCCAAAATGACCTGATTATCTAGATCATGATTCATATACAGTCTTTATAGTCACCCCCTATATAAGCACATCATATAAAAACCTCTTTATAAGCACATTTATTTTAAAACCAACTATTATAAACATATAGAAAAAAAACCTCTATATAAGCACAATACTGTATAAGCACATTTTTTAAAAAAAGTTACTATGATCCTGACTGTGTGATTATAGAGAGGGAAGACTGTATTGCCTAATTTATATAGTCACAACACTACTAAAAATTTTCACCCATATGTTCTATAAAAACAGATTTGGGTGCCAGATTCTAACAACTATGGACTTATAAATACTTGTGAATCTCACAAATCATGATCTGAATCATAATAAACTCAAATTATTCGAGTCCAGTCACTAGTACAGACAATATCAATATGATTATTCCATGGGTATTATGCAACAACTCATGCTTTTTCAACTAAGTTATTTCCACCAGTCTATATGAAAATCACATGATTTTATATAGACCGGTGGAAATAATTTTTTTGTAAATATATTATGATGCTTAATTTCTTTAAATTGTAATGTGCATTGTATTATTTATTTCAATTAATAAAGAAATACATTTTTTTTCTTTTATAAAAAAAAATACATTTAAAAAAATATATTTTTTAAAAATGGTAGTGGAAATGGTAATGAACTTCTTTCTCATTCATTCTACTATCATTAAATTTTCCAATATCTTCGTAGATTAAAGGCATAATACAATTCGAAATATTACCCAAATGTGATCTTGGCTGTGCAGAAGGTCCTGATGATAAAAACTGTGAAATACATAATGGTCTATTAAATGTTTTAGAAATTTCTGGCATCTAGAAAACTTGTGAAGATTGAGTGCTTGTTTTTTTAAAAGGTGATTTGAATAGTGTATACAATCTTAATTTATGCGATGAACTTGATCTTGTTGCTTTTCTTTGTACTGGTTTTGGCAATAATCTTGATATTAATTCTGATGATGCTTCTGGTGGTAGTACTAATGATGTTTTTAGTGGTTCTGGTGACATTTCTAGTGATACTTCTGGTGGTATTTCTGTTTTGTTATAGAAGCTTTGGCATATAAATACCAAGAAACTGGGATGATCAAAACCTGTTTGTGAAGACCCGAGTAAGGAGTAGTGAAAACTTTCGACAGTGCCACAGGAAGACCGAATTCAGAACTAAAAACCAAGACTAGAGAAACAAGTGACCAGGTCCTTAAGTAGGGGGACATACTAGCCGAACCGCCAATCGCCAACTGGAGAAAAAGGATATGTGCTCTGGAAGCATGTACCAAGGAAAGAGAGACTATAAGGCACCTAAAGCCTGGGCAGACCAACCCTTCTGGGTTGCCGGCTGGAAACAAGGGAGAGACCGGTAAAGAATCTGGAAAAGAAGGAAAGTTCGAATGGGGGTACCGGGGTAGAAATAAACCTTACAAGGGCAAGAGATATGTGCAGCTTGGGTAACCAGGCTCACTAGTATATAAGTAAAGCTGTAGCACAGTATCTCTAAACCAAATCCAGAAATGTGTAGGACATAGAAGGATTTTGAGAGATATCTACTGTGCCCTTCCTCAGGTAAATACTGATTGATTAGTTTTGAAGGGTTTATCTATAAAGAGGTAAAGCCAGAGGGGGAATGCCAGCCTGGGTGGCCTTTGTGCAGCACGAGGTGAAATAGTTTGAACCAAACAGGGCAGTGCAGGACTGGAGATATCAGAGAGTTTAAATAGGTAACCCCCTAGTTGAGTTATAGGTACAACATCTAGTGTAGAACCTTTGAGCGGACTACTTAAATAGGCACCCAAAAGGTGCATGTGTGGCTTGATATACTCTCATAAATCTAAAAATATACTGCAGCATGTAACAATATAAATATAATAACATTTAACATTACTCCTAATAAAGTTCATCTATCACAGCAATTTAGCAAAATAAAAAAAAAAGTTTTGATTTATTTTATACAATACATATAATCTAATATTAAATTATAATTTATTAGATTTTTTTAAAATATTGGGTATATGAACTTAATCTTTGGATAAAAGATATTATTAATTTAGAGTGGGCATGTCAAATTATATAATCTACAAAAGAAATTTCTAATTATTTTTGAAATTATCAAATAAGCTTAGCAATACTACATCAACTTCAAATAGAAGTTTATAATAATTATATATAGAACCTCCTATAGCAAAAGGATGTATTGGGCCAAAAAAATTTTTTTTATTTTAATTGATTTCTTGAAGAATTAGACTAATAGAATTATAATTTTTATAAAATTACAAATTTAAAATTTTTGTCCCAATGCACCTTTTTGCTATGGAGGTCTCTATATTTTTATTATTTCTTAGAAATACTCAATAGAGATCTGTATTTTATTTAGCAAAAAATCTTCTAAAAACCAAGATAGCTATTCAAAGAATAATATTAGAAGATAATATTAAAATTTCTAATAAAATTAAAAATTTAATTTTATCAGATAATTTTAAAATTCTTTGTAATTTTCTTTCACTTTTTGCTATTTTTTTAAAAAAATTACAAACTAATCAACCTACTTTTTTAACAGTTTATTCAGGATTATATAAACTAAAAATTTATATTTCTAAAAATACTGAAGTTTTTAATAATTTTAAAACTAATTTACCATATATTACCGAATAGAAGCTACCAAAATTTTGAGAGTTTTTCGGACTAAAAAGAGAGAGTAGCTTCTATTCGGGTTTAATTTTATTATTAAAACATAATAACTTCCTCCAAATTTTTAATCCAAAATCAAGGGAGTAGCTTTTATTCGGTAATATACAGTAATTAGTAAAAGAACAGAACAATAAAATAACTTTCTTTATAATCCAGTAATTATATTAGTATACAAACTTGATTCTTAATATCAAGATAAAACTTTAAATTCAAAAAAGTAGAATTTGATTATTCAAGATAAATTAATATGATTAGTATTAAGTCAAAATTAAGAAATTATATTAAACAAATATGCAAAATATGTTTTTAAAAAAGAACATTTTGCACAATTATACAGTATTTATAGAAATCTAATTTTGTACAAAATCTAATTAATTGGTAGAGTTTATTTAAAGGTGGATATCTGATATTTAGTAAGATTGCATTATATATATTATCAATACCACCTATTTTAGCAGCTTGTAAAAGAAATTGATCAACTTTTGGCTTTATACATAATAAACTGCATAATAGACTTACTAATTCAAAAGTAAAAAAATATGTTTATATTCAATAAAACTTATGAATTTTAAGAAATCTGGGTCAAGTAGATAAATTAAATAAAAATATAGATTTTGTTAAAGATTTGATAATAAATAATAAAGATTTAGAAGAAATGTATTTG